TGAAAAGGGAAGATACATTACCATCTTGGAGTAAGATACTGTCGGAAGACCACCACCTCCTTCGATACAACCCTATAAAATGGAAAAGGACTCCCACATAAAATATGAAAGCAATCACAACAAAAACTAAAAAACTCTTAAGAAAAATAAGAAAGAAGAATAAAAATAATAAGAATTAAGATAACGAAAGGATGAATAAACTAATAGGATTATATATTAGGCAAAAATGAGTAAAATAAATCAAAGTTTAGAATTGGTAAGAACTTATAATAAGAAAGTATTAGGAAGGAAAGACTGAGGGGAAGAGAAAGGAAAGGGAGAGGTATAGGGTTGGCAGTCCCTCCCCTTGAGGACCGGCCGGTCAAGCAAAGCTGGACCGAACTCTCCAGGCCGGTCTTCCATAGCCCCCGCGTCACTATATCTATGTCTATATATATGTATATGTCTATATCTATGCCTGTATGTATGTATCTGTATATGTGTGTCTATATATATGTATATGTGTGTGTGTGTGTTAAACATTATGTAATATTATTCGACAAATCTTTTTTTTTTTTTCAGTTCAATTTTTCTCTGAAAATCTTAGGAGGGCTTTATATATATATATATATATATATAAAAGCCCATAGGTGATATTATAAAATAAAGAAGAGAGGAACAGAAGAGTGGGAAAGAAGGATTATAGTAAAAAGATCCTTCACCCGGTATAAAACTCACCCAAAAAAATCCGAGAGGTAAAGTAAAAAGTTTGTGGAAAGATAGATACAAGGTTAAATGAGAACAATTCAAAGTTTTTCACTATATCTGAAAACAGAACACATGAAAAGTAGGCAGAATATCCATAAGCAAGTCTGTGGGAGAATGGGAGAGCAATGACCGTATCAGAACTGAGGGCAGGAAAACAGGAGCTTGAAGAAAAGGACATCAAAAAAGCGCTCCACAGTAAGATGAAAACCAAGTTCATACGAGAACTATCAAAACAAAGCAAGGAGCACTTTATGACAATCATCTGATGTAAGGGAGATCTAAACTATCTTCCCTTAAAAGTATTTGAAGCTCTATAGGAGGCACCAAACTAATAGATACCCCAATATATCCGCGTTTAGCCAGCCAATCAGTCGGTGTATTACCCTTTCTATGTATAAAATTCCATCTAACCTGAAGATCATGTGAATCAATGTATTGTCAAATCCTGTTTAAGCATATAAATAAGTTCCAAACAGGCTCTTTTTTTCTGGAAATGAAATTCAGAAAATCAGAAGAATCAGTTTCAATGATAAGTAAAGTCCAGTGGAAAATAACAGCATTTAGTAAAGCTAGAAAAACTGCCCAACCCTCGGCTTCAGTGGGAGTAAGAGCCCTCATCGAAGAAGAGAAAAAGAAAAGAAATTGGCCCAAATGATTTATTAATATGGCCCCAACACCGGCAGAGTTAACACTCCAACTCCCAGCCAGGGGGAGGGGGCTGCCAATAAATTAATGTTGGCCTTTAGCCCTCCTTAGGAAAAGATCCAAGCATCAAATGTAGATGCTTAGAGTCCTTGGCATAGTAAGCAAGAATATGTGAAATAATAGAAACAGGGGAAGGGAGAGATTACTAATGCTTGGCATTATTTCTAGCACGCCATATAAACCACAAAACCGTATGAAAAAATAAACTTATTTTAATCTCCGAATTAGTACTAAGCTGCCAAGCAAGCAAACAATCGTCCATAGAATTCCATATAAAATTTTTGAAACAAAAAATTCTTCCCACACTTTGCCAAATTTCTCGAGCAAAGGGACATGGAAAATAAAGATGTATAGCACTTTTTTCAAAACATGTACATAGACAACATTGTGAGGCTAACCTCAAGCCCTTTAGCTTCAAGATATCATCCAAAGGCAATAAGTTTAGAAAATTTCTCCATAAGAATATAGAGATAGAACCTAGAACCAGAAGCAGAGGCAGGACCAAGCTGGCTCGTCCCTAGCAACTTGTTTTCTGCGAGTTTTGAATTTTAGAGTTTTATCTATGTCTTATCTTTTTTAGGATGTTAGTGTCTGTGTATCATATGGGTAGGGCGTCTTTATTGGGTCCTCTCATACAATCTTTATGTACCTTTTCAATTTCAATAAAATTCGCTCTTGGGCGTTTCAAAAGAAAATATATATATATATATATGCGGCGAAACCCTAGTTTGATTATTGACTCGACGACGAGGTTTCCCGCACTCGACGACGACAACACTGTTTCCCACTCTCAACGACGACGACAAATCGTCTTCTCTCTCGCGCCAAACGCTGAAGGGCTTCGGCGCGTCTCCTCCTTCGCGCCTTCCAGCTAGCCTTCAAGCTTCTTAGGTTCTTTTCTGCACGAATCGAGCTGCGGTTTCTGACGAGCTGTGACTTCGTGCCTTGTCTTCTGTCTTCTGCGCATTTCATCCGCGTTCACTGCGCAACACTTCGGCTTGTCTTTTTTGCCTCTGCCCGACTTGAAGGGCTTGTCTTTGCTGTGATGGAGCTTCCTTCTTCTTTAGTTGAACCTGACAAAACCTCCTTCTTTGCCCACTTGGTGGGTAATTCTCAAGGGGAAACGACGGTTATCTTCCTTTTAAGTTATAAGGAGCATCGTGATGGTACATGTAACTGTCCTTTTATTAAGAATGCAAGCAGAAAAAGTGGGAAGGCAACACTCTTTTTCTCCACGTTAGAAATTTCAACGTTAACTGTCAAATTCAAATTTGCTCTTATTGGGAAATTTCAGTGGGAAATCCATCAATGGAAATTATCAGGAAAAGTTTTGATGACTTCAAATTAACAGGAAAGTGGAAAGTGAGGCTTATAGATGTGATCTCATGTGTGAGAGACGTGTATTGATTCAGTTAACCGTGCCTGAGGACTATACTCGGATTTTCTCCAAAAAATATTTTAACATCGTTGGTAAACTTATGAAGCTACTCAAGTGGTCTCCTGATTTCGACCCAAATCATGAAACTCCCACTGTACCGGTATGGTTTAGTTTACCTGGTTTCAAGCTGCATTTTTTTCACCATTAGGTTCTCTATTCTATTGGGGTCATTCTTGGGGATCCTTTGAAGCTAGATCTGCCTACTTTCAACCTAACTAGACCCTCGATGGCTAGAATACTTGTGGAAATGGATATTACTTTACCTGGTGTTACTGATGTCTGGTTGGGCACAACCCATAATGGTTATTGGCAACAAATCGTCATGGAGCACAAACCCCCATATTGTACCTATTGTAAGATGTTTGGTCATGTTCTTGATAAATGCCATAAGCTTCATTCAAATTTGAAATCTAAGGTTCAAGTGAATAAGGATGGGTTTAACCCCACTGCTCTGGAAATTTTAGTTCCACCTGGACAGAATACTACTAGACAGGAGGTGTCTGTTGCCCCTGAGGACCCCCCCAATGATACTGTTGTTGTTACTGCGAGTGATGCGATGCTGACACCTTCAAACCCTATAGAAAACAATGATGACGGACTATTTCCTACAAATGATAGTGTTCAGACTAATAATCAGGAGAACCTCGTAGCCTCGCCTCGTAGCCTCGCTTCTTCAGGAAGTATCCGGTGTAGAGACAATTCATACTTCACATATAGTAGAACCTATTGTCGGTAATACGCTAATTATTTCTCATTCTTTGGATGAGGAATGACAGATCTATTCAGGAGGAAGAAGAAGAATGGAGACCGACTCCAGCTCGGGAACATATTGGCTGATACATTGGTTACTATCGACAATAACGATCATCTTACCAGCTTATTAGCTTTCTCCTTCCCTAGTACTAGAGGCAGCGGCAAGACCAAATTGGGTCGCTCTCTAGCCACCTGATACTATGTATTTTGATACTGTTAAGCTTTTTATTTAAGTATTTAATATATTTTTCTGTTTTTTCTAGTTTTAGAACCATTTGTGGTTTTTGTGTGGGTAGGGTGCTTGCTTGGGCCTTCCCACACATTGTATCTGTTATATATATATGGGGTTTACCGTATACCATCGCTAAAGCGAAGAAAAGCTCTTGATTAAAAAAATGGATCTTCAAACCTGGGAAGCGCAGCCAAACAGGAATGGTAGGAGGTTCAGTACGGGGGTCAAAATCCACCGTCCATTTTAAAACCTTCATCATCTAGTTTTCTATTCGGAGAACTCTTCTCGCAAACAAATGAGTGTAGTCTTCTCGCAATTTGTTAGCTGTCTTTGCTCCTAGAACCAGAGGCAGAGGCAAGATTAAGCTGGCTCGTGCCTAGTTTTGTTATTTCCTGCAAGTTTTTTTTTTTTTCTGTTTTATCTATGTTTCATCATTTTAGGATGCTAGTGTCTGATGTATCGTATGAGTAAGACCAATTTTTTTTTGTCCTCTCATACAACCTCTATGTATCTTTTTAATTTCAATAAAATTAGTCATTGGGCGTTTAAATATATATATATATATATATATATATATAAATAAGTATTTTTAAGTGTTTTGTGTATTTATATATTTGTTTGTATGTCTGTGTTTATGTATGTTTATATGTATGCATGTATCTGTGTTTATGTATGTTTATATGTATGCATGTATCTGTGTTTATGTATGTTTATATGTATGCATGTATCTGTGTTTATGTATGTTTATATGTATGCATGTATGTGTGTTTGTGTGTGTACTTTAGCTAATGCTTAAAGCTCTATCAGAGTTCTACGAAAGTCAAGTTGAACATAAAAAACGGCCGACACCATGCGACAGTTTTATATCTTATATCATGCAATAATTTTAATTTTCTGTTCCAATGTTTTTTATATTGTTCTTTAATGCTTATCACTAGAGAAAGATAGGCACCTACCTCCTACTAGTAATATTAGCACGTGTAAACACCTTCAGCAGGCATTCACGGGCTCATACAGTACTGAGCCACTTGATAGTTTCTTATAATTTCTTACCCATGTAAATGCTATTTTTTACACTAAGATAACAAAAACATGATGAATCTACTGTTTGTTGAATGGATTCAGATAGATGATGAGCATACCATTGAAGATGATGAGGCTCAAATTACAGAGGCAGAACGGAGGGAAGAATTAATTGCATTGCAAGCAGATTTAGATCTGCCACTTGAGGAACTTCTTAAGAAGTACACTAGTAATGAAGGTGACTTCAAAGTACACCATACTTAATAGGGGCATTTACAATCTCCAAGTCTTATGTATTTTCCTAACACCCAAACTTTCATTTTTACACTTATACCAAAAATACGACTATTTTAACTTTAAAATATGAAATGCACCTTTTTTTTGCATATGCAAGGTGGCATTTATGTAAAAATTGAATTTTGGGTGTTAGATATGTAAATACATTTGAAATAAGTGGTATGTATTTAAATCATCGTTCTTATTTATAATAAAAGCCAAAAAGTTTGCCTTTATACTTCTCCCCTTGGTAATGATCAATATAATCAATCTCAGTCAGTAGGGAAGTCAGTCCAGAAGTTGGTGAACATGTGGCTACTGAAATTTCAAAAATCAAGGAGCCTAATGAAGGTAATATGTCAAGCATGTTTGGTGATTTTAGTGTATTTGTGTTAATTATATTATCAGCTTTCATAACCCTATTGACTCGTATCTATGTGAATGGCTCAGAATTAAAACTTACTGGTAAAGTATCTAATTTGATTAGAGAGAATCGAGATAACAGCAAATCTATACGCATTGGCCATCATGATCATGTAAGCTGGGTAGCATCTTTTTAGCCACTGCAAAAAACGATGGCAAGCTAACTTTTTTAATATTCGTATCACAGTTTGAAGCAAAGGACTTTTCTTCCTGCACGGGTGGACAGTTGGCTGTTAAGTCAGTAGTAGATCCTGAGCTTCGATCAAATGATTTTGATGCTTCAGAACAGAAACCTTTTCTCCATTCTATTGTTGATGAAGTGGTGCGGAAAGTTCCATTTATGATACTTTTTTGCTTTCACCATACTGAAAAAACGACAATTGTGTCATGTGGTACCTGAACTTCTGTGCTAACATTGTGTTTTTCTAAACTTAAATTTTTATTTTTTTGATACTCATAGAGTGCATAAATGGAATCCTCGAACTTGTTGTAATATTTATTTTGATTACTGCTACTATTTTTTTCTCTATTGTTGATATTATTGTCCATTTGGTGCCCCTTTGTTGAACTTTTGTAATGGATGTTCACACCATAAGTCCACATAGCTTAAAGTTTATTATGCTTTTTGAAGTATGTATAGGAATTTCAAGTCTCATATTGATTTTATTTATATTATTAAATTTGATAATTTATTAATTCATTGTTTTTGAAATAGTATGTCATTTTAGTTGGCATTTGACACGGGGAAGCCATTTCAATTCTAAATTACATAATGATATTGTTAAGGCTTAATGCATGTCTTAAGTAATTAACAATTGGGCAATAGTAAATTATGTTTGAAGCTTTCAATTCACGTATTGTTCCATTAGTAATACACACGCGCGCACTCGCGTGCATACATACATACATTGGAGTATAAAATATTGAAATATATAAATCCATTTGACTGCATTGTCATTAGATATAAATCCATTTCTGCTTAGTCATTAGATATGAATCTGTAAGTTTGCTGATAAAAATTATAAAATGATGTAAATGAAGTTAAGATGGATAAAATAGCAACTTATCTCAGAGTTGAAATTGGAAAATTTTCGAAAGATGGATAATATAATTTATTAGTATTATGAAAAAAATAAAATAAATATCACTATGTGACATGAATTCTTTAAATCATTGTGTCAATTCTAGGGCCTCCTCTTGAAGAGATGCGCCGTATGGCCTGAATATAATGAAAAGTGTTTATTAAAATTAAATGAAAATATGACACTCAATAGGATATAATGGAGAAAAAAGATTCGTTTGCCGACCCCGTTTAGTGGGGTAAAGGCTCGAAATTGTTGTTGTTGTATGAAATTAAAAAAATATAAAAAATTGTTTATTATCTCTTAAGATGAATGAATGAGATTCTTCTTCAAAAGAAATGGTTCATGTTCAAACAACTTATTTCTTGTAGCATTATATATTATGCATGGGTCTATTTATGCTTCAACTTAAACAATTTATGTTTGATAAAAAATATATTTTTCAACTAGCTGATCATTCTATAGGCGCTAATCTAGTAATGGTGGACCATACACATTTTTTCACTTCTTCCATTTCTATTCACTGCATTCAAAATCATTTGTGGCTAAATTGTTTTCGTAGTTTTTTTGTTTAAGGTTGTCATTGTCATTTGCAAATTGGGCGATTTTTCTTTCATTTTACAAATGGTAAATTTTAATAATTAATTGATCAATCAAATCTTAGAGAAACTATTTGAGTCTGCTCAAGAACAGGTCAGTAAAAACGATAGAAAGACTTGAGAATTTATAACGGTTTATTCAGAAGAAATAATTTCTGATCTGTGTTAGATTTAGCCCAAGTACTTGAATCCTTTTAAAGGGTGTAAATTGTGATTTGGTGGGGAGAACCGAGTTAAATACCTTTTTTGTAAAATCGAAAATATTAGTTAGATAATGATATGAGTACACTAGGCCTAGTTAAGTCATTTAACAAATATATGTGATATGAAATTCATTCAATATGTTGTCGTTTCTATATCTCAGGTTAGTAATTGATTGGTTATGAGCAGTTTCTATTACACATACAAAAATGCATTGTTCGTGGTCGGCTAATGATAGAAATAGAATTTGTGCTTGATATCTAGGTGGTTTGTGCTAGACTTCGAACCCTGAACTTCTTATTTTGTCAGTCATCAACGTTGCTAATGGCTTAGGCTGGTCTTTTATCTCTAGAGCATTCTCTGGATGTGATCATGCCGAGGATCTGACCTTTTACTCAGCTAATTTGTTGTTGTGAACCATCAAAAAGCGCTTTTATGAAGCATCCACGGACATGCCTTTTTTTTTTCTCAGCAATCTTGTACACTTGGTTTCATGTTGAATGGATTTTAATTGAGAAACTTTCTTTATGGGGCGGTGCTTGTGCTGCTTCCATTTTGTGTGAGTTTGATTAAGAGTAGGGCCAGTAAAATAATGCTGCATTATTGTTATTGTCTTTTAATTAGATGTGGATGGCTATGAAAAATATAAACTTAATTCTCACAGCATTTTGACAGCCATATAAAGATCTCTTTTTATTTGCAATTTAATCTCTGGCTTGTTTGGTTTGAAAGGAAGTATGTAGATTTTGAAAAAAATGAAAACTATACCAGTGAAACAGAGGTATAAAAAGAATAGATTCAAGAAAAAAATGAGTTTTTATCTGGTTATAGATCAGAATTAACGTGGAATGTTAATAAGTTGGCATGGCGATGCTTATCGGTCTTACCACCATGAAGCGAACCTTGAAAAATGTAATTACAAGTGTTATATTTGTCTTTTTTTATTATTTATTACTTTCTTAATGTTGATCCCATGCTTCAACTAATTTTATTTGTCATTTGGGATCATTTCATAAAATTTACTTGCTTTACATGTCTGTTTCATCCATACCTTATCTCTGGCTGGACAGATTATTCCCATCACAGTCGTCTATTTGAACTTCGAATGTTATTTCATTTGTTAATCTTTTTAAGTGACATCTTTAGCTTACTTTAGATGCTGATTTTCAGTTTTTATGATTTGTTTTTGTTAGTTCGTCCATTAAGTCTTTTTGGTTGTTTTCTCTTATTGGATGTCAATGACAATCTTGTTTCTTTATTCATTTAGGATGATGAAGATTATCTTATCATTGGCGATGAAGAAAAGGTAAGAGTAAATCTTATACCATTTTCAATTTGTTTTCAACTAATGTGCTACACATTCGAGCACCCATTATATTCCTTTGTTAGTTTTTTGATGCTTCCATTACTCAGAATTTCCCTGTGATAGTTATGAACACCATATAATTACTTTTGTAAAGGAGAACTAGTTTAGGACAATTTTTTTAATATGTTTTTTTGCTTGCTTTCATTGTGAAGGACAGCATATCATTATCATTCACAACATTTGTCCTCACAGCTTGTGGAAATGTTTTTCTTGTTTTTCCTGTATTCTCCATACAATACTTTTTCATTTTATCTTTACGTTGTCTTTTCTGATGGAACATGCATAAGCCCTCTACCATCGAGTTTTAGTCTCTCATAGTATAGGTAATTAATTCTTGCTTTTATGAGTGCTGAACTTTAATGGTTGTGCGGAAATTGTACTAGAGTTCTGATTCTCCCATTGTAGCTGAAATTCTGAATTCAGAATCTCTTGCTAATAAATTTTATTTCAAATCTGCTTCTCCCATTTTGTTTCCCTGCAATTGTGTGTCTGGAACCTTGTATTTTAACACATTTGAATTTTACTTTTTAACATTTTTGTCATGATGGCAGACTGATATAAGCTTCCATACCTTTTTAGCAGGATGATGAAGGAACCCTGTCTGAAGAGGAAGAATTGGCGAAAAGAGAAGCAATTGACCCATTGGATGAGGTTTGAAGGGTTATGTGGCTGCATTCTCAATATGTTTACTCATGTCATATCTTTAGACTATTCAGGCTACTGACGTTGGGAGTACTTGTATTCAGTTCATACATTATATCTTGTATGGAATTATTTATTTCTCCTCGCATTAAGGTGATAAAATCATCCAATGCATTTTTATTTGTTAGATGCCATATCAGTGTGTTGCCATGAGGATAATATTCGACCATATTCGAATATTTCTGCTTAATTAATGCATATTTTTAATTGTGAGATAATAAAACTTAATGTACCGATAAATTGAAGTTACAGTTGTTGTGGTTGCCAATATCTGTCTGCAAGGATCAAATTCCTGCAGTTTTTTCATAATTTTGTAACTCATTTCGAGTTTCATCTTGCTTAGAACTCCATAATGTTAATCTTTGTCGTTTTGTTTCCTGCTATCAGCCTTGTCCCAACCATTTTGATTGGCTTTGTGGATCATTACATGCCATTTATTTTTATTAACAGTTGCATTGGATTTTAATTGCTGTTTGTTTAGTCCTTACTATTTCCAATTATATCATCTTTGAATTTCTTCTCTTTGTTTTCATCTTGATTTTGATTTTGGGCTTTGACACCTATTGAAAGCCATGGGAACCATGACTACGACAACTTCTTTCATACCTTGGTTTGGGCCCCACTTGCTGGATTTTCGGCTAATCAAAGATCGAGTTCCTATTACATTTGGATTAAGATCCTTGGCCTTTGGGATAAAGTTTTGTCGGCCCGTTGAATTGCTTTCTCATGAATCCCCAAGGCTGCTGACCTTATTGGTGGCTTAATCTCTTCTTCTTTTATACGTCAAGTAATTTGTTATTCCCCTTCCTTTTTGAAAGGCCTTGATGCGGGCGTCCATGCCCATGCGCCGCAAATTGCCGCATCCTCTTGCCCTAGACCTATTTGGTCCAGGCAGAGGAGGGTTCGACCGATCTTTCTAGGGAGGGACTTCCCTCCTATTTAGAGTGCGGTCCACTCCTATTTACCCTAGCTCTATATAGGTCGTTGTTGTGGTGTTTTAGGGCAGTGTTTTTTTATGTTTTCTATCGGGATAGCCGTTGACGTCTCCAGTTCTCCATTCTGGGCTGTATTCAAGGGCAAGTGGTGCTTCCACTGTATCTCGTTCTGAGGTGGTAACTATCTTCAACTTCCCCTTTCGCTGCATCCTTCCCTTCGCAGCCACTTTCGTTGTGCCTGTTGCAATCTCCCTAAAACCATTTTCCTTGGTTATCTTTCTGCAGCTCCACTTGCTGCCACCTTTTAGATCTCTTCCACCTTGCCCTCCAACTGCTAGACAACTCTCCTTGCTATATTTCTGCAGTCGCACCTCTTCCACCTTGCCCCCTAGTCTTCTTGGAGCCGCACCCTTTCCACGGGCCAACCTCCCAACTGTAAGCCACCTAGGCACCTGCTGCCCTTCCCCTATCATCTCCAACCGCAAACCCTCTGACTCCCTTCCTTCCTTCCCTATATCCAGGCCAACCACAATTCTTCCCCTCCACCTGCAGCCAGCTGCCCCTCATGCCTTTCCTATGTTGTCTAACAGTAACCTTTCGTCTTACTCCGTACAGTCAACCGCCACTCTTCCACTCCACCTAACCGACCACCAACCCTTTGGGATACTATCTTAGTTGTATTTGCATTGTGTTTGTTGTTGTATTTTCCATTTTAAGTATATTTGGTTGTAATCACCCATTATAAGAACAACACTGCAATTCTCTTCTTCCCTCGATCTCCTCCGTCTTTTCCTTCACGCGGCTCAAAAACCCTAACGTGCATGCACGGTACTGCGAGAGCTCCACTTCTCTTCTCTTTCGATCGTGGTGCAACCCAACAGAGCGCACACGGTGCCATTCTTGTCTTCTTATTCCTGGCTTCAGTCGAGTGGCTCTACTCAAAGCATCAAGCAAGCACCGCCTCCATCGTCTTCCTTCTCTTCCTCTGCAAGAGAGCACGACATAAATCCACTTGGTAGGGCACGAAACCCCTTCTCCTCTACTTCATGCACGCAAGGATCTTGGTGCGACCCAACATAACAAGGCAAGAAGTCATAAATTCCTCCCTTACTCATTGACCAGTAGACTAGGGCTCGACACAGGAAAACACGCTGGTCTCAACACTGCACATACGATCCTTCTCTTCTTTTGACTTCTTCCTCCTTAAGCAAATTCTTCTTCTACTCCTCTGTCTCTTGCTCTCTCTCACATTTGGGTTGAACAGACAATAATAACTCCCTTGATTCCTAAAAACCAATCGTAGAGACACGCATATTTAAATATTTTTTATTATTATTATTATTATTAAAATTCAGTTATTACAAGGAGCACACGATTGTCTGGTACTTGGGAGGCTTGTAGCCCTCCATCTAGAATGTGGTTCAACTACATCTTTATTGGTCGTTGGATTATGTTCAGACCTTGGCACTGAAGGTGGAGAGACATCAGAAGCAAAATAGACGCCCAGCGCTATTTAGACAGCTACCCACAGTTTGAGACATCAGCAGAAGCATGCCCACAGAAGTTGAGAAGATTGTTCAGGAGAATGACAGAGCCGCTTAGTGTGAGAAGCTTGAGAAGAGTTGCACGCTCAATACAGTGTCCATCATAAAATGTTTTAGGTGTCATAGATATGGGCATATCGCCTCCAGTTGCTCTATGAACAGAGTTGTCTCATTCAACGATCAAGGTGCAGTAGAGGAGGTGAGCGAGGAGGTGGCAACTGACGAATAGGGTGAGTATCGACTTCCAGCAAATGAGGACAAGATGCTCGTGGTTCGATAGATTTTTTCAGACTGAGGGTATGAAGGAGCAACAGTGGTTTTGCCACAACATATTATATACTCAACACACTGAAAGGAAAGGTATGCAACCTCATCTTCGTTGGAGGTAGCAGTGAGAATGTGCGTCCACACAAATGGTGGACAAGTTGAGTCTCATGACTTGGAGGCATTCCCAGTCGTATTCCCTGATGTGATTGAAGAGAATAACATGGTCATCATTGAAATGAGGTGCCTCGTCAACTACAAGATCATGTGTGATGCGACATGGTGCCCATGGATGCCTGTCACATCCTTTTGGGGAGACTGCGACAGTTCAACTGCAGAACTCAACATGATGGATTCAATAATACATGTTTTCACAAAGGATGAGAAACTTATAGTCCTACCTCATGCAGAGTATGAGGTTATCAGTGTTAGTGGGTAGTGAGATCGAAGGGCCTATATCAAACATAGGACAACCACTACATTGAGAGTTTTAGGGTACCCTTACTGCTAGCTTGCTGCCAAAGCCGTCCACCGTCAAGAAGTTCAGTCTTTCTTCATGTTGGATAAGGATGAGCTAACCTTGGGCTACCTTGAAAGCAGTATACCCTCAGATAGTTGGATTGATATGGATGACTACTCATAAGTGGGGAAACCTTCTCAGGTGTTTTAAGAGACAGTGCAATCGATCGTAGGATATCGATACAATTGAAAACCCTTTAAGCTATGGAGGTTACAACAGCTCCGTCACCTTCAACGTGCAGACAAAAGATTAAACAAATGAGGTCGCAATTCCCCCAATCCAAGGAGACTGATGCAGGGTCCAACGCTCAGGTGCAGTAAATTGTTGCATCCCTTTTGCCCTTGTTCGGTTCGGTCCAGACAGAGGAGAGACCGGCTGGTCTTTCCAGGTAGGGAATTCCCTCCTATTTTGAGTGGGGTTTACTCCTATTTATCCTTGGTCTATATAAGTCATTATTGTGTTTTGAGGCGGTGCTTTATGTTTTTTATTAGGAATGTAGTCAGCGTCCCCAATTCTTCTTTCTAATGTTGTATCCAAAGGTGAGTGATGTTCTGGTTGTATTCCTTTCTGAGGTGGTGACAATTCTCGACTTCCCCTTCCGCCTCATTCTTCTCTTTGCCACCGCCGTCATCGCACCTACTGCAACCGCCCGGAAATAGGCTTTGTTGGATGTTTTTCTACAGTTCCACTTTGCTGACACTTCTAGATCTTTTTCACCTTGCCTTCAGCCTCAAGATAGCTCTCCTTGCTGTCTTTGCGCACTCACACCTCTTCCATCTCGCCCCCCAGCCGCCAGACAACTCTCATTGCTGTCTTTTTCCCTACGTATGCTTCCTTTCCCCTGCCATCCCTAACCGCAAACCCTCTGCATCCTTGCCTTCTTCCCTTTCTGCAGGCCAGCCACATTTTCTCCCTTCCACCTGCAGCCAATCCCCCCTCTTACCCTTCCTATGCTGTCCAAGCACAACCTTCTGCTTTCTTTCCTACAATTGACCGCCATACTTCCTCCACCTTAACTACGTTTGTGTTGTGTCTCTTGTTGCTTTTTCTCTTTTAATTATAGTTGTAATCACTCATTTGCTTTTAGTAATAACATTTTATTTTCCTGTTGTTGGTTAACACCGGCATTAGGTTTGTAGACATGTTTATATAAACCTTCGCACTTTGTGCAAATTGGAAGCAATTAAAATTCCAAGCAGCTCTTTTTTTTTCCGATTCTTTTCTACTTTTCCCACTATATAGATGGTATTAGAGCTGGGCTAGGATTTTCTCCTTCCAACTCATTCTCCCTACTCTTCCTCCCATCCTTTCTTATTGAAGCTTTGTTTTTTCTTCATTATATTTGGTTTCTTTGGCTTTCCTTCTAAGGAGTTTGCTATTATGAATGGTGAAAAATAGACTAAAAGGAACTCTAGGGAGACTTAATGCCTCACATCGCTTGAATGAGAGAAACTATTTGAAGTGGTTTCAAATCATGAAGGCCTTTTCGTCTTTGAAGGGAAATATCTAACATCTAGTAGATCTACTTCCAGAGTCAAAAGACCTAAATATCATATTTTGGGGAAAAAATATTTCATGATCAAGGCATGATTGTGAAGACCATGATATCAAAATTCAGTGGTTGTGCATTTTTTTATCTTTTGCAAAAAAGTTTTGGATGATGCCAAATAAACTCACTCAAAAATA